ACAAAAATAAGATGGCTAGCCAGCTGTTTTAACCTCTCACACCTGGCTTCAGTGTGGGGCTCATAAGGTTTATGCAGTTATTTTAAAAACGGTTTTAGTATTTATGGCAGAAACTGGGGAGAGAGCATCATAGTGTGTTTATTCAGCGGCTGGTTGCTTTTGGATTTAAAAGAGTAAGCTGATGTTGAAGTGTTTTCATTTTATGGCAATGAAGATATAGTCAATGAAATATGGGGCAAATACCATAAATCTGAAAAGTGAAATGTACCTAAGGAACAAAGAAAGGTCAGGTGAACCAGCTGTGTAAGTCAAAGCCACAGCCCCAACTGGGGGGTCAGACAGGGAGAACGGACTCTGGGTCCAGGAAGTGAAAGTTGCCACTTAAAGTTAAAACTGAAGGAAACCTGTTCAGCTCTGTTGTCATCTTTTGGCATTTTTAGCAGATGAGCTCAAGTCTGTTGGTTAATTTGGAGCTAGTAGAATTATTTGAAAAGATGCTGCACCAGCAAGGAAAACAGACAGCAGGCTGAGAAAATCGCTATTTAATATTGCAGAATTTACTACTTCCATTCTGACCATGGACCTAAATTTACACAATGAAATTTGATTATCTTTAATAACAATATTAGATCCTGCCCTGGATGGATGAGAATTGAGGTGCTTTTGTTGATTGCAAGGGTTTAATGTTGCATTTCAGAATCTGATGTGGTTTGGCCTCCCTTCCATTAACTGGAAAACCCCTGAGGTTTTACAATTATTTCTTAAAGATAATACATTTAAGATTGCATTGGTAGGCTGAAGAAAAGTCATAAAGGCAAGAAGGGAGGCCCTTAATAACTCTTGAGATTCAGACATGTTCAGCAGTTAGATTGGCTCTGACTTCACCAAGGGTCGACAATGTGTCATTTCCACGAAGCCAAATTGCCCTCTGCCTATATGATATTAATGTGCAAATCAATATTTCAGGGATTAAATTTCCCTTCTTCATTTTTTATGGTTTCTACCTCAATAAGTCTCAAGTCTATTAGAAGAGGCTGGATGATTTAAAATCTTTCACTGCAGAATGGCTTGTCCTAGTCTTGTTTCACAGACCATTTTAGGATTTTCGTTATAAAGACTAAGGACACCCTGAAGAAGTTGTGAAGCAACTCAGTGGCATAAAGCCCTGGTTCTATTAAGAGCTACGAGGTATCGGAAACATCATATATATGTTTCTGTTACACACATACATGTATGTATACATACTGCTGCTTTAAAAATATTATGTTAATCACCTATTGATTTATTTCAAAATCAATTGAAGTGCCTTTCTTATTAGTGAGTTGTTCAGCATTCTTGAGGACTGTGTTCATTTTCTTAAAGACAGACATGGATTAGCTGGGTGTGAAAGTATTTGGGAGGGATTTTCACGTAGCAGTATTTTCCTAAGAAATATTTCGAGACACCATTGTCTGTCAGAGTCATACTCAAGAGTTGTCATCTGCATAGGGTGTTGTCATAGCTATCATTGCATTTGTGGCGGAGTGACTTAGTTGCTGTGTGTATAAGGAGGCCTTCCATTTCTTTTACATTGATTTCCAGCACTCAGTAGGCATAGTGTTTCTTGTAACCCTCTTGGTGACACAATTGTGAAAGAAAAGATGTAATTTGGTTGGAAATAATACCAAAGCGGAGATTTAGGAGGTCAAAATAAAAGATTGTGACTTTATCGCGTGATCTTGGGAAGGCCTACTGTCTATCATTTGGTGGTGTTTTATAGTCTAAAACCATCTGGACCAAGTTCCGCACAGCTGCACGAATTTCATATGTGATAGAACATTTTTTCCATTCAGTGTGAAATGTTCCTTCCTCAAAAACGTACACCAGACTCGCTTAATTTAGTCTGTTAAAAGAAATGCACATGAAAAAGGACAAAAGGCTCTTTAATCTCTGCAAGCTGTTTGTTTTTCTTCAAGATTCCTGTCTGTTTGGGTTTGAAAAGTCATGTTTATTGAGGAGATGATTCTGAGGTGTGACATTAAAATAATATATGATTTTTGGACTGGTGGCCATGCTCCTGCTTAATTTGCAGAACTACTTTTTATGCCTGTCAAAACACAGAGCTAATCTATCCTTATTTACAATTAATCTCAATAAAATTAATCTTAACTGTGCTTTATTCAGTGGCTTAAAATATCTAATTATATTCAATTAACTGCTGTCATAGTAATTAACATTGCTTAATTGCCTCTGCATATATTTATGTAAAGCTCATTAGGTGCTGCTGGCTCCTTCTTCCTTTTCTACTTGCTATTTTTGCTGTTGTCAAACCATTTTCGTCTCCCAAGGTTCGACACTGTCAGTGAGAGCAAATCCTTTCTTAACATTTTCTTGAAATGAATGTCATTGCTTGCCTATGAGAAGATACTCGTTATGAGTCTTTAAAGACTAATGCATCTCCTCTCCCCCCTTCCCCCCTTCCCCCTGGTCCCTAGCACACTCACCAAATATTTTCTGTCATTGTTGCTGGAAATATGAGAAGCCAGGTTAAGCTTTGTGCTTATAAATGAGGAGCCTTTCTGTGTCTGCCTAGGGGCTGTCCCCACAGGCAGAGTTTTTTTCCTCTAAGACTATTCTAAGGGTTAAAGACTTGGCCAAGGTTCAAACTGAAAAGCACCCAGGGAAAGTGCCTGTGAATATGTACAAGTTTCATGTAATTAGTG